CCCCGACCCGCGCGATCCCTATGGCCGTCCCGACGATGCCGAGGACTATCTCAAGGGCTTCGACAAGGGCGTGAAGGGCCTGCGCATCGCCTATTCGCCGCATCTGGGCTTCATCGAGCGCGAGAAGATCGACCGTGACGTGGCAGTCGCCGTCGAGCAGGCGGTCAAGGTATTCAAGACGCTGGGCGCCAAGATCGTCGAGGACTCGCCCGACTTCCATGGGCATGGACCCGCGCAAGGTGCTGAACGCCCACTGGCAGTCCAACGTCGCGCTGCTGCTCAAGAACTTCAGCCCCGAGAAGCGCGAGCTGATGGACCCCGGCCTGTTGAAGGCCGCCGAATACGGCGCCCAGCTCGGCCAGGAAGCGGTCGTCACCGCGATCCACCAGCGCCAGGCGATCTCGGCGATCATGAATCAGTTCATGGCCAAGTACGACCTGCTGCTGACGCCGACCATGCCGATGACCGCCTTCGCGGTGAACGAGAACGCGGCGTGGGGCGGCGACGGCGTCGACATCGGCTGGACGCCCTTCACGCTCACCTTCAACCTGACGCGCCAGCCGGCCGCCGACCATCCCCTGCGGCCTCGACCGCGAGGGCATGCCAATCGGCCTGCAGATCGTCGGCGCCCACACAATGGACGCCCTCGTAATGCGCGCCGCGGCGGCCTACGAACGGGTCCGCCCGATCCCGGCGCCGCCGATGGCGCATCAGATCTGACGGAAAGGGACGACGCGTCGGATGGCAATCAGCCACCAGACGCGTCTCTACATCGCGCTCGGCGTGGCGCAGGTCGCCGCGCTCGCCCTGCTCGCCTGGTTCGCCGAGCGGCAGGTGGCGCTGGGGCCGACGGACAAGCTGGGCTGGCGGCCTTTCTCATGGCCGCTCTCCACGGAGCGCGCACCGGCCGGGCGTGCCTATAGCGGCGACGATCACGACGTCCATGTCTGGCTTACGCTAAACGCGCTGGGCGCAACCGGCGACTGTCCCGAGAGCATCGCGAGCGATGCCGCGCTGGAACGCGCCGTCGATATCCGCCTCCTCGATCCGCGCTTCGAGCCCGTCGGCACCGGCGAGCGCATCCGCGTCACCGACCTCACCGGGTGGACCCGCGTCTACGTCCACCGCCGCAACAACAAGTCGCTGCGTTACGGCGAGGCCGTCGCCGTGGCCTACAAGTGCGACGTCATCACCGCGATCATCGACGGCGACGCGCGCGATCCGGCGAAGCGCAAGCTCGCGCACGAGTTCCTGGAATCGAACACCGCGCAGGTCTGGATCAACCAGCAGCTC